TAATTAAAAAAAAGTTTAGCATTCTCTTCTTTTTTATTTTTTCTCAGCCTAACTATATAATATAAGTAGGAGTTAGATAAGCTATTTATTTATTTTTTGTCGTATGGAGCGAAGTGGGCCACTTTATGAGATGGACCTGAAAAGTCATTTTGTCCAAGGGCCTAAAAGGTACTCCATTCCTACTCTTCTTTTTCCTGATTGATTGGCAGTCATAGACTCCTCGTCACTTACGTTTTCATTTTCTCTAATTTTTTTTACTTTCGTCCCTTCTGATGTTAAGGTGACATTTTAACATATAGTTTGATACTTGGATTCGACTGTGCAAGTTACTGGTTGGGTCATGCTCTTTAGTGAGGAGGGAGTGATGCTCATCTTTATTTAGAAATTGAATCTTGAGTTTTTAATAAATAACTCACCTAACATACTAATCATTATTTTTGTCAAATAAAAAAAAATATATAATTTGATATTCAATATAATAATATCTAAAATATAAGATTTTTTTTTTTTGAATAAGTTGTCAAGAGACAGGCTCTTATAAGAGAAAGGGAATGCATCTCAAACTATCAGATTGTCAATTGACCCAAAGAGTCAGGTGCATCTAAAATATAAGATTTAATGGTTATAATTTTTTTAAAATAAAATAACACCTAAAAATGTAAGATTTAAACTTTAAAAATTTTATCTCATCTCTCTAATTGCATTAGTTTAAAAAAAATAAGCATATATATATATATAGTTTGGTAATCTCATGAAATTACGCAGTAATATTATAAGTGGAGGTATCGTACAAGATTAATCATAATATTTTATTTCTAGCTTTTTTCTTGGGCAAGCATCTTTTGTCTGGTCATATATTTAAACCTTGCACCATACTCAATTTTAGGAAGAGTATGCACTAAATTCTATGGGTTAGTGGTTAGATATATTTAATATCTCTATAATAACTAAAGTTTAAATTATGATAATATTATGTTATTTTTTATCTCTTTATCCTTCAAATTGTACTTGTTTTAAAAAAAAATTATACAAAGAGTATAATCCAATTCAAAGTCAACTGCTACTACTTGCAACTCATGCTCCATGCTCGTCCTTTTTGTTGTAAGAGTAAGGCTTTCATGTTACGAACTCACAATTACTCTTTTTACTGGAGGAAAAAAAAATCTCACCATTATGTAATAAGTAAATAATATAAAAGAAATAAGTAAATCATAAAAGTCTTTTTTTGGATAGATAGATTTGTATGAAAAAGTGTAATTTTTTTATAAAACTATTTAAAAACTCTTAAATAAATCATTTAAAAATAATTAATATTTTTTTTTGTATTGATCTATTGATAATATGTTGGGTTGAAGAGAAATGGAGGGGAGGGAAGGGGAAGAAAAAAAAAATTTTTGGTTATAAAAAATTGAAGGAGAGAGGGGGGAATTTACTTTCTTTTAATTTAGTTATTTATTCAAATAATGAATAAGCATTAAGGGGAATAGAAAGAAATAATTCTTTCCTCTCAATCTAAATATAAGGTAGAAATATTTATAAAAAAAATTAATTTCATAATTATTCATGTATTTTTTTCTTATAGATCAACTTGAATATCTACATAGTAAGAAAAAAATTATGTAAAAGAGAAAATATTAAATAGTAAGTTATGCACCTATACTTTCAATGAATTATAGTTTAATTGGTAAAATGTTTACTTATTGTCTCATTTATCAATATTTGATTTTTTAAAAGGTTCAATGAAGAAATAATCTCATAAATTCCTTAATTTCAATATAAATAATGATTTGTTTTTGATCAAATTAAAAATAAATTAATCTTAATCTACACATAAATTGGCCATGGTAATATCTCATATATATTTTTTAACAACGAGAAATTTTAGAAAAAAATAAAAAATTACTATAATTGTTTTAATATGAACTCAAATCTTAATATAAATCAAAATATTTAATACATAAACCTGACCCTTCGGGTCAAATGACTCTAACCACGTTTGTAAGGTTCATACCCCCTCCTCAGGACAACAGTTCGAATCGATTTATGACAAAAATGTTCAAAAAAAAATATTTAATGCATATTACCATCACACTAGAAAACCACTGATGCGTGGAAAGACCTTGATTTGATATTTAAATTTGACCCGCACTTTATAATTTGCACTGTGTTTTTTAGCGTATAGGAGTCACTATATTCACACAAACATTTATTGTGAAACCGACTTTTAGAAGAGAAAATGTTAATTTTACATGGAGGAAAAATGTATGTGGAAACTTACCCAAAAAGTCAGCGTTCCATACTTGAGGAATGTGGCTTATTGCTAGAAAAATGAAAAATGGAAAACATTGTTAAGTCAGACTCCCTTTCAGGTGAAAAGCGACTTGGGTGTGGAAGTGGCAGGGTAGGCAAATTGCAGATTCACATTCACCAATCAGCGCATATAAAAGTTGTCCAGTGGCAGTTGCCTGCAAGATTATTCTATTGACGCAAAGCAATATTAATTGTAGAACTGGTTATTTGACTTAAATCCCCTTGGACTTACAAAATCACAAGGCTATAATAGCACGCATCGGCATGGAGGAAGATATCATCGGAGATGGTTGTTACCGTATAATGTTTTGGTAGGATTACGTATCTTTTACGTATTTTCAAAAAAAAAAAAAAGATTACGTATCTTTTGGTAATTTTTTGGTAATCTGAAGTAGAGTAAGATAAAAAATATAAGATAATTATTTTTTATTATATAATTAAAAAAATATTAAAAATAATTAATAATTATAATATAATATTAATTAATAAAATAATAATTAATAATTTATTAACATAAAATGAATAGAATTTGATTTCATTTAATTAAAATATCAAATTTGAGTTTTATTAATTGAGAAATATATTTTAGAAGAAGTTTTTTTTTTTTTATAAATTCAATCTAATTGAAATATAATATAATTTACAGATATCAAGAATTTAATATAAAAAATTAATTAATAAAATAATTAATATTTATAATCTAACAAAATAAAATAAATTTATAAACTATTAATATTTTAAAACCCAATAACAGATAATATTTTTTTAAATAATTATAAATTAATCAAATTAAGTACATATTATTTATGTAGTTTAACAAAAAAAAAAAAAATTAGTGTCACAATAACCAAACCTGATATTGTTCCTCTCCCTGCAAAATAGGGGGTGGTGGGAATCCTCGCGGGAAATTTCTGCTGTGGTATAAATTTTCTTCTTTCTTATCATCAATTTGCGGGAAAAAAGATAGTGTCTTCCCATTCGCCTACCATAATAGAAAATCCCATATTCCCATTGTACTTGACTTAGAAGTTATGTTGAAAGTTTCAGTTGAAGACGACATTGTTTTAGTCGTCCATTACAATTTGAAGTTGCGACCGAGATCTATGATATTTTGGGGTCAAAATTTGTGTTTCCTATGACTTAGTAGAACTCAACTAATTACATTAAGGGGGTGTGTTGGTTGAGAGAATTTTTTTTTTTTTTTAAGTTTTTGAAAAATTTTTATATGGTTATTTATATATGGTTTAAGTACCATTTTGGTCCCTCAACTTATCACTTTGGTACCAAAATTGTCCCTCACCTTTAAAAAGTACCAAAATTATCCTTAAACTATCATTTTCGGTACCAAAACCATCCTTCCGTCAGTTAAATGACAGGTGGCACGTTATCTTGCCACAAAATCACATTTTTAAAAAAATAATAATTACGTGGAAAATAAACTTAATGAGATGGCATTTTTCTTTTTCCATGTGTCAATTTTTTCTTATTTAAATAAAAACCCACATAATTTAATATTAGATTATTCATCTTCTTCTTCCTCGCTTCGTCTCTCTCATCCATTCGCCCCTTCTTCTTTCCCAGGCTTCTTCCTCGGCACCGATGAATGGTTCACTCAGCAAGCGGAGAGCATGAGTGAAGCGATCCTGGTGTGCCTTTTGCGGCCATCCGAAATCCAGATCTTCTCTCAAACCCAGATCTGGGTTTTTCTCAAAATCAAATCTGGGTTTCACACATAAATTACCTACATCACATCGGCACCACCCACGGTCACCGGTGTTGTCCAACATCCTTCTATCTGATAATCTCGACCCACGCATCGCCGACGTCAAGATTGGAAACATCGGGCGCAGAAAGGGAAGAGATGATGAGGGAAATAACCAAAGCGGCACTAAATTTGATGTGTATTGTTTTGGAGTT